AAAAATATTAATATTAAAATATGAAATCATTTTATGTTATTTTTTTAATTAACATTTACTATGCCTATGCATGTTTTATTCATCACAGCTTTTCAAGTTATTTAATTTTGATCATAAAAATATTTTTTTCTTTTATAATGACTGATATCATATTAGCAGAATATTAACTTTTTTTTCTGGCACATCTGCACATCTGGAGAAATATCATATAAATATATAGGGTAGTCCATGAAACTGGGCCGGGTTCTAGCATTTGTTCTGTTGAAGATAGAAAAAAGTGGTAGAGGCAAAAGTTAAATAATATCTTGAATAAAGCAGCTCACCTAAAAATTTTAATATTTCATGAAATATTTATTTTTCGAGCATCTTACTCTGATATTTTTATACATGGATTATTCAGAAGAATCTATTTATGCAAAAAGAAATATATAATTCCATTAAAAAAAAGTTACAATTGCACTTTTCTGATACACCATTGCATTTACAAAAAAATGTTCATGTTATGCTATTTAACTTTACCGTTTTTTTTCTATTATCACAGAACAAGTGCTAGAATATATATTATAAATTAATTTGTTTTCTTACTTATTATGCAGAATGTCTATTTTTGCATTTTTTCCTCAGAAACTTTATGTAAATTGTTGTTGTCAGTAGTTTAGATTGTAGTTTTTTCGATTTTGACAGACAAATCAGATTATTGCTATAAAATTTTATTGAGATTTACTTATGTCATTTTTATTCTTTAGAAAACTTATACTGATTATTTCTATATGCATGTTTTATATGAAGCTTGCAGTTTCAATCCACTTATGAGACATTTTCCAAGACAGAATCAAGGCTTATAGTTTTCTATTGAAGCATCTATTATAATAATTACAAGTTATATCGTGCGGCATTGATATATCATGACACTGCGATTATTAACGGTGAAAAAGTACAGCCGCCAACGTATTTCTTTATTGATCATCAAAGCATAATTATGTCATGATTAAAATTAATATTGGAAATGTGAGATATTTACTGAACTAGATTCTTATGCAATATAATCTTGATATAATCTAGAAATAATCTTGATTTGTCACGTGTTGTGATGAATAAATATGTTTAAGAAATATATATTGACAATACATTTAATCCAGGTAGGTTAATCAAAAGACCTTAAATTTATATAGTCCCCCTTATGCAAAACTATGAATGTATAAATTTTCTTTAACCTCATTTTTTTTTGTAAAATTTATTTTGTGCTATTTGATTTTGTATTTACAAAGCTTCAGAGCATAGGATACTTTAAATACTTTAAGTATCTAGGCTCTGAAGCTTTGTAAATACAAGATCAAGTAGCACAAAATAAATTTTACAAAGAAAAACGAGATTAGGTTAAAATTTGCACATTCATAGTTTTGACATAATGGAAACGATATTCTAAATATCTTCAAAGTGTAAAAAGAAAAGAAAAAGTAGATATTTTATGTTTGTTTGTAGGAAAAAGTATTTGTACTTTACGCCAATCATGTATTGCAAACATTAAAGACGATTTAAAATATGCCATAATGCAGGAAACTAATTTTTCTAAAAAAATGATGAGCAATAAGCATGTAATACTTAGTTTTTTAATCGAGTCGCACCCTAAGGCAAAAACTTGTTTGCTGCGTCAAGTTTGTTTGATCTTTGATATTTGCCAATTATCTAGAATCTTTAATCTCTTCTTACAACTACAGTTCAGGTTAAATAACGACTTATTAAATTGCTATCAATTTCACTTTGTAATTTTGTATTTTATATCACTTAAAATCGCATAAACGCAGTAAAATTTTTCTAAAAAATTTAATAAAAAATTACTATTGTCTGTTTCTAAGACAGTATCTATCTAAGACAGCAAAACTGATTTATTGATTATATGGTAATGTCTATTTTTTCTAATCTGAATCGATTGAATGTATTCACAACAACATAATTTGCCGTTGTAAATTACTATCGCTAAAAAACTGATTTTCAAGAAAATCAGTGCATGTAACATTATAATAATTGTTTTAATGATGATTATGTGTTGAGAGTGCATTGCTAAAGTATTTTAAATGTATATATTATAATGTATATATTAATAATGTAATAATTGTCGCATTAAAATATGAAACCGTTTCTTTACTTTATGCATGAAGTCTGAGATAATGAAATGCAATGTGAATATGTAGCGTACAATTTAATGAAATAAGAGGAAAGTCCGAGCCATGCATTTTATACAAAGTGTTCACGTTAACACATGTTTTTATTGTGATCGTCGTCGCTAAATTGTATAAAAATCAATGATTGTGGAAAAATGACATATTTTCATAATTTTGAAAAAGTAAACTCCATGAAGTATCTAATTCTACTTTATTGTAGCAACAAGCTATTTAAAAATAATTAGTTCTTATTTTTATAAAAGAAATGCATGTATGTATATGTACACATCATACGCGCGCACATCATATTCTTTCTCTATAAATAAAAATTCAATGTTTTTGGATAATAGAAATTTTTATATATGAATAACTTAATCCAAAAACAGCCAATGTCTTTTTTTAGATTAAACAAAATATGCTGTATAACAAGCAGAAGATTGCATTATATTATAAAAGATCTGTTAAAAAGGTCATTATACAGCACATCTTACTTATGAGATAAAAAGTCCCATTAATTGTTTTTACATTAAGCCACAATATAGAACAGAAATTTGAGATAAAGAAATATATGATAAATTGGATAATTTACGTTTATGTACTACTAAAGAAGTTATTAGATACAAGACATAAATATAATTAGACAATAAATCCAAATTAAATAATTGATAAGATTAAATGTCTAATTGTATATGCAAAGCATATGCGTAATAGATATTTTATATTTCTATTCCGTTTCTATTGACTTATAAAATGAAAATATATAAAGTGATTATATTTTACCTGTGGAGTGGCGAGTACGAAGGATAGCATCCAAACGAGAAGAACGCATCGCGAGAATTTTTGCGACATGTTGAAACCTTTCATAGGATATCGCACCGCGACAAATCGATCGATACCGATTAGCACAAGTACAAAGGTGCTCAGGTATAGGCTGAACATCTGTAGGAACTTGAAAATCTTGCATGCAGCATTGCCCCACAACCATGCGACATTGTAGCTCCAGATTGCGTCGCCTGCCATGCAAAAAATGGTAACCAATAGGTCAGCCACGGACAAATGAAGGATTAGCGTGTAGATCGCTGAGTAGCTCCGCTGTTTTCGACGATTCTTCCTGATCGAGTAGATCGTCGCTAGGTTGCAGACCAAGCTTAGAATTGACATGACAGCCAATATGATCACTCTGAGATACACTTCTTTGGTCAGTTTAGGCGCGTGTTGCAGACACGTAACGTTCCTGGACGGCAGATATCGTTGATCGATGAAATCGGTGAAGTTCTCGCAGGGATAAAGGGTGGAATTGTCGATAGCGTTCGACGAGTTGCTGTTGATAATCATTATTAGTTTCTTCATTCTCGGACTCGTCGGCCGCACCTCGTTTCCCTGGACGATGTTTTCGGTTCATCGAAAGATACGACGGCTGTATGTTGGCAGCACTTATGTCTTCTACGCGGTCACTTTAAGAAATGAGATGCATATTCCGCGTAGGCCTTCCAAAGTGGAAGGAAAGGATGTTCTCAGGGTTCTTGTCCGCGGACGATTTGACGTCTTTTGCGCTGATACTTCTTTTTTTTTAGGCTTCGTTAAACTCGTTCCTCCGATTTTAATGCGGTTGGTCACTTTATACATATTTAAATAATATGAGATAACGAATCCAGTTCTGTTCTACCTTGGAAGTATTATAGTTGTATCGGAATAACATCCAACCAAAATCTCCTGCGAGCATTGTTAAGATATCTGAAGAACATCAGTGATTTATCAGAAGTCTTATAAACACTGTAATAATTTAGAAATTTTTTTAAGTGTTATGTTTTGTCAATTTAAATTGATTGGAAGTTAAACTTTGTGAGAATATTCCAAGTTTTGTGCCATTGGAAGAATCTGTCAGTAGCATGAAAAATTAGTTGTAGTCTGAGTTAATTTATATGTCTCTTTCTTATATTAAATTACTCTTTGTTCAATATATTAATTTAAATAATTTTTAATACATGTACATATGAAAGAGAGACGTTTTATTATAAAGAAGTGTAAATAATTTATAATTTTACCAAAAAATAATAATTTTTAAAAATTAATTATTATATCGAATAATTATATTATATAAAGTTAAATAAGTAAACGGAACAATTATTGATAAAAATTAATAATAGATCGATCTTAATATTTTATCATTTTGACAACAAACGAGTAATTTAGAGTAACTTGCGAGCGATGTTAAATTATGCATGAGTTTTTCTACAGAAACACGAACTGGTTCTGACAAAAAATTAACCTCGAACATTTTTCTGATCTTTTATACAGTTGTTTGTGAAAAATGATTTCCAGATCATTCACTGTAATCGATATCTTTTTTCTAATTCGATGTACAAGTATAAAATTTTATTTATATTTTTATTATTAATATTTTTTTATATTATTGATAATATTCAGAAAATTACGCGTATAGATAATTATATACATATGTTTCTGCTTATTTGTTTTATGTATAATATTTATATCTAATTGTGTGTATTGATAATTATTCTTAGCATTATTTTATTTTTAAGTTATAGACATACTTTACTTGAAAATAATAAACAATTAGCTCATTATTGTAGTCGTCTTGTCTTTTGCATACACAATTGCAAATAGTATATCAATTGCAACTGACAGTTTCTTCATGGATTCTTTCTGATTCTTCCTTGATGAACTTTATATGTTACGCAATATATAAATATATATCGCGTAAAAAACTTGTTATACACATAAAATCACACATGATAATAATTTTTTCCCTAGACATATAATTACACAACTTTGCCGGTTGTTTAAACATTTTTTAAAACTTGTAGTTTATAGATTTTTTTACACTCGAAAATGTTTTCTCAACATTTTGACACGTCACTAATTGTTTAAATTGTTAAAACAAACTTTAAAAGAAATATTTATATATATTCTATAAAATATTCTCAAAAGCTTCTCTCTCTCTCTTTAGCATTTTAACATTTTAAGTTCGGAACTTTAACATGACATTTGAACATAAACGTGATGAACTTAAAGCAACACGTGTCTTGTTAAAACAGATGAATGCGATGATAGTTTTGCTCCGACATATAGAATTTACAAGTTACTTTACGCACGCGAACGCAATGACATTCACTCATTCACATTGCATAAACTCGACTGATCGATGAAAAATCAGTGCGACGCTATCTTACTCGTTTATTCGCGTCGTCTTCCTTCGTCGCCTTGATCTTTTCTCCGCGCGGCTGGACATTCCATTCAGCATTCTGTTACTATCGATAGCAATTAAATATTCGCTGATAAATTTATCCTTGTGTATTAGTATACAAAAAAATATTGCGTGTTAAATTGCGAATTTATGTCAATGATGCCGATTAGCGATATTCAGTATCGATCAATTACTCGATTTTTTGCATACATTGGTAACAATAATTTGTATTATATTGCAACAAGAAATAGAAGTCTATATAGAAGTATAGTCTATATAAAATATATAGACAGCGTATCTGTGAGGAAAAAAAAATTTTTTTAAATAAATATAATGAAATAAATTAAAAGTTTTAGAAAGTTGTTATTAGAAAGAGCAATTTAAATGAATTGAAAATTATAAAACCACTAAGTATTGCTAATTCTAAACTAAAAAAGAAAACTAAAAAAGAGAAATCATTTATTTTAAATAAATATTTATTATTTTTTTGCTTATTTATATTATTTTATAGTAATATATTCCATTATAAATATGTAATAATTCTTTTTATTGTTTCGGTAAAAACTAATGATAATTCCTTGATTCGATCGCAAAATATAATAATCGTGCAATGTTATTACCGCAGGCGCTTCTATGTTCTTCAATTTTTATTTTCTGAGTATAGCTATTAATATAGTCTTTTTCGAATACAACAAATTTTTTTACAAAGTGTATAGATGTATATGCTTTAAATTTCATAGGTAGAAATCGATCTGGATTGAATAAATCCAGCCAGACTATTAGATTTCGATGTAACAATAAAATTGTCATTATAATTGTGATATTATAATGACGATCTTTTGGAATTACGTAATTAATATTAAATAAGAAATCATTAAATATGAAATGTACAAAATAGTAGAAAATGATTTAATTGTTTTAGATTTTGATTTTTTCAATAGACTTTCCATTCTTTTGTCGCATGATCGAATTTGCGAATTTTTTGCGATTGTACAAATTTTGGTGCATTACATATATTATACGTATAAATACTCCAAGTGTCTTATATAATAATGCATTTTTAAATTACAATTTTAATTTTATTTACTTTTATATGTAAAAGATTCAATTACCGTAACGTTCCATGTAAGATACATAAAAAAAGTTTGGATTTTACCTTGTTTAAAATTATATTTTTTTCTCTTTTATGAGTTCTCTTATGAAATTTAATGTTGTGTTTTGTTGATAGGCAAAACATTAACATATGTTAATAAAACTCATTACATTTCCGATTTCTTAAAATTTCAAATTTTAATTTAAAATGTGTAAAATTTATGTGATGTATTCCTCTTCATGCTATATTCTATGAAAGAAAATATTGAGAAACAAAGTTGTAAATTTGTTGAATTTTAATGATCATTGAATACTATTTTAAAGTTGTTTTTTGTAAATTATGCGATATCTATAGTGTGTTAAATTTTATTGATAGGCAAAATAATTAGGTATATTTTCTCATGAAATAATTTGAATTTACGCATTCGATATGGAATGTAGTAAATATAAAAATTACTTATACAACGCGGGACTCTTAATTAGGGGACACAATAATGTTAACATAAACACATTTCTTTAACTTAGTTTGCATCTTATTTGCATCTTGACATAAATTTGCATTTTTTTTATATATAATATTATTGCGCCTTGTAATCTATTACGTCAACGACTTACACGCTTTTACTCAGTAACGCTTATCAAAATCAGTTTCACAATTTAGAAAAGAAACAAGTTTAATAGAAAGAACTGCTCAATTTAACACTCAATTTAACACAATTTAACATAGAAAAATCAATTAATCAGTACGCTTGTATCATGTCTTCATGTTATCGAAGCTTGTGTAAAATTCTTGTCTTTTTAAAACGCAACTTTAATTATTTTATCCTTGAATGGCGAATCGCGGATAGAGAAAGCGGTAATCGGGTCCGCCGTGAACTATACCGACTTTTACGTGTATTCCGACTGTAGAAATTATATATGTAATACTTTTGGATTTAGACACATCTTTCCTCTCTGAAATTTTACGCAATACTGCGTATATATTGACTGTAGAAATACTAGTTCGACGCTGTCCGTCTTATCGTTGTAAATTAAACGGCGCGCCGCGGCGCTTCGGTCTCAAATAATTCGGTAACCGCCCCCATACACAGGCGAAGGTTAATATCTATTTTTAATCGATTCAATATTATTCGTGATATAGTGTCACGACAGAAATATGTCGATTTCCATTGGCGCAGACATAACAATATAATTTCATTTCACACTTCGAACGATCTGGAAATTCGAATTTATCTACTCTGATTAGTATGTGTTTTTTATGTAACGTTATGTCATAGATTATAAATAGAGAAAATATGAATCTGTAAATTAATTTTAGATGTAATAATTATTTTTTTAGGAGTTACTCCTTTTATTTTCTTTTCTTGTCATATCAATTAGCTAAATCAGCGATTTTATGTGACCTATAACACGTGTCTTTTCAAAAACGGCTCCGTTGTTCAAGTCATATATGTTGTAAAAACTCGATTGTCATCGAGTTATCTCGATCGACATATTGCTCTTGTACAAACGCTAAAATTACTCTTACTTATCTTTCATTTGTATTACTACATTGTTAATCGGATAAAGTAGACACAATTGAAAACACTAGTTTTGGTATCATGTTATTATAAGAAATATATTTTAAGTATATACATACTTTAAGTATGTATTTTTTGGTGTCGTTTTCTGTCATTATTTCAGAATTGTCGTATATGAGTTTGTTTTTTGGATTTTATAATAATATAACTATAGCGTGTCTCAATCATTTAAAATTATCTAAAAAACTCAGAAATCAAATGTGCGGCTTCTAATTATGTCACTGAATAATAAAAACTGCAATTGTATATTTTATGTTTAATACTACAAAAAAAAAAAGATAAAAATAATATAATTGCAAAATAATTTTCTGAAATCACGAAAAATATCACATATTTATATATTTATAAAATAACTAAAAGGTATCAAGAGTCTTTTTTTAATTATCAAATAACACATTTTTAGAATATGTATCTTTCACTAATATATATAGGTATATATAGAATACTTTGATGTTTACTTCTGGTGGCATAATATTTTCGCTGCGTCATAATATGGTGTTGGCAAGCTCTCGTATTTCGATTTGAGAACGGATCCGTCATGGGTAATAAAATAGCATAGTCGTGTGAGCATAAAATCTGTTTCAAAATCTGAAATGCGCGCGTAAAGTGATTTTATATACTAGTTCTCCGATAAATCATTCTGCCACAATTAGTGATACTGCGTTGTGGCGCGCAGGACAGCTATGAAAACTTTGTAACAATACACATAAAACTATCTAAGAACTTATTTCAGGATTTACTGTTTTCTCTTTGTCTTTTTTTGTTTTTCTCTTTTTCTGTCTCGTGAAATATCTTCAGACTTACATTTTCTTTAGTACGACTGTTATATGTATGCTTTGACTATAATGCTGCAATGAGCCTTTATGATATAAATTAAAAATAATAAACAGATATATCTTTGAGAACACGAATTATAGACTTAACATCTATTACACTGTCTTGTTAAACTAGATATTTTTTATTTTTTTAAAATAAGAATAATTTTTAGTGTGCTGAATCTGAATTTAGCTCAAAAAATGCATATTATATCAAGATTTGAAAGTCAAAGAAAAATATGACAAAAATAATAGCTTTAGCCATATTTACGATGCAATTAAAAAAATTTTTTAGTAACTAGCGTTTTATCTTAAAGCATTTTTATAAAAATAAAAACAAGATATAAAAAAGAGAAGTGTAATGTTGATTACAAAAATATAAAAAAAAAGATTATGAAAACCAGAAACGCGGATGTCGGGTATAAAAAATATTACGAATTAATATAAAGTAAAATATTCAAAAACATTTTGGCCCAATTTCGTGTTCTCTACAGTCTGACAAAATGAAAACAGTTTAACAATAGAAAAAAAGAGTTGAGATTACATTAAATTATCAAAACAGTAATTATAAATTTAAGAAGTTATAAATATAAAAATTTGGATTCAGAACATAAAAAATTTGAGACTATTATTTTTTTTTCAAACAACAGACTCGGGGCAGTGTTATTGCAAGGCATTGTAATTATCGTTTTTCGTGTTTAGTGGATTTCTGCTTTAGAGCGCGCAAATAATGTACTATAATTCGACTTTTGGATCTATCTCGAAGCTTTTCGCTCTTTTCATCTGTTACCACGATACATAAAATTGCGAGAACGTGAACTGAATCCCGCAGTGACGTTATTATTCGACGACGTCATTATGCAGCGTCTGTGCCTCCCTCAAGGATATCAATAGTGATCGAGAAGAAGCGATAAATCAGGATTTCCGCAAAGCTTTTTCATCCTACGACCGTCGTCTGTGATTCTCTGCGGTTTCTCTATTCGTTTCACGGCACAAGTTTTTGAGTTAGCGAAACACACGTAGTAAACAGTCGCCTACGTTATAATTTTAGCAAATATTATTACAACAGAGACAGAACAAAGTGTACGAAATTGAGAAGGTGATATTTTTAAACAATTTAATTAGTAATTTAATTAGTAAAAGACTGAAATATATTTTATAGAACGTAAAAATATATCATACATTTTTTTAAGGATTAATTAAGATGTCGCTATACACACATGAGCTTTCTGCATTTGCAGTGTCGACAAAATTTTTCCAACAAGATCTTGTTGTATTTGTTTCCTTTTACAGTATCTCTTCTAAGTTACTGTCGAATCGGCATGCCATTTATACACGAGTGTTACTCCAACCGCGTAGCCCGCCTGCCTCGTATTTCGATCTCTTGCTATAGCGAGCGACGGCTACGCGTCGCAAAGTCTCGGGGTGCTTTTATTTTACGTAACGGATTTTCCGATAAAGCATCGCTTCGACGTTCACTG